CTCCAGGCTGGGGTCCCCCCTCCTGTGCACGCGTGGTGCGCTCCACAGCCGGCCCATCCCGCCCACAGGCTGTCCGCGGGGCTCCCCGGGTGCCTGGCTGGCGTGGGCCCGCTGTCAGGACCGGGCAGCGCACCCCAGCCCGCAGCCCCGCGCGACGCACAGCACACCTGCTTGAACTGCTCCTCGTAGGTCCAGTCCCCGTGGTCGGGTGGCGGCAGCTGGGGCGCCCCGTGGGCAGCCCCTCCAGAGTGGGCCAGGCTGGCCCCCTGGCGCTCCTGGCCAAGCGCCCGGGGCCCGCTGTCGCCACGGAAGGCCTGGGACGGCGGGGCCCTGCGGGGGACGAGGGCTGTGGGGCCCAGACCTGAAGGGCCGGGTGGCCCCAGCCCCTCCTCGCCCTCGAAGTCCTCCTCCTCCTCCTCCTCCTCCTCCTCCTCCTCTTCCTCCTCCTCCAGGTCGTCCTCCAGGTCGTCCTCCAGGTCATCCTCCTCCTCCCATTTTGGCTTCCTGGGGCAGGCAGAGGGTGCAGGTCAGGCGGACGGCGCCCGCGGGCTCCAGCCCCACGGCAGGGTCTGCTGCTCGCCGGGGCTCCATCTCGCCCTCCCAACATGGGGGAGCGGCCCCACCTGCTCCAGGTGCCGCGAGGGGCGCGGGCTGCACACCCGCTGACCCCCCCGCCCGCTGTCGCACAGGTTTCCTCGGTGGGCCTTGGAAATACCTAGGCAGGTCCTGCCTCAGGGCCTTGGCTCTGGCTGTTCCTTCTGCCAGGCACGCCGTTCCCAGCCCCGGACACCCCCCCAACGCACACCCCTCCTTTATTTCCTTGTCAAAACCCACAGCCACCCTGCTTCTCCGCTTACTGGACGTTTTCCCGGGATGATCCCACTGGGGGCTCGCCCACACTCAGCTGGAGGCCTGCACTGGATCCACGTGGAACACGTCCACGGTGGACGTCCACAAGCCAGCCAACGCCCACTCTGCGCGGGTTCCCCCGGACCACTGCATCAGCTGGAGCCTCACAGGGCACTGGAGCTCCTGGCCACAAGGGGCTGGTCCATTTAAATCAAGACGGACTAAAGCTACAAACCCAGATGCCCCGCCGCCTGTGAGGGGCAGGTCCTAGGCTGCACACGTCTCCACCCTCCCCCAGGGAGTTCTAAAGGACAGAGCTGATCTCGGCGGTCGGCAGCAGGACGGGGTCTTGTCCTAGAGCTGCCTGGGATGCATCAAACACTCAATGGATGCTTGTGCGGTGCGTAGCCCACAGACCCCCAACTCACAGGTCGCCCTCGGAGCCCACGTCCTCCAAGTGCCCGTCGCCTTCAGCGTGTCCCGGTGCCGCCCTGCCTCGGCCAGGTGGGGCAGGTGAGCCTGGCGCCCCTTCCTGGGCCGTGTCCTCACCCTCCAAGCTGGGGGGCCCGTCCTCCGAGCCGCTGGGGCTTGGTGCGGGTCCGAGGCCTGCAGCCGCTGCCCGCATGGCGGCCAGCGCAGCCATCTGGGCCCGCTGCATCCGGGCCTTCTCTGGCTCTCTGTCCTCCTCCGGGGCGGCCCTGCCACGGGCCGGGGGGCCAGCAGGGAGCTCGGCCGGCGGGGGCGGCAGGGGCGGCGGGGGCTGCCGGGCCTCCAGCTCCTGGCGTGCCCGCTGCTGCCGCTGCAGGAGGGTCTCCATTACAGCCTGCAGCTTCATGGCCCTGCGGGCCGGGCCGCCCCGGGCACCAGAGGTGGGCAGCAGGGGCGGCCCCTGTGGGGAGGGGGCCTGGCCGCACTGCAGTGTGGGGGCCTCAGGGGAGCTGGGACAGTGCAGGGTGGCGGGGGTGGGGGCGGGGGCCGCCGGGTTCAGGCTGAGGGCATGTCAGCGCTGCCTCCTCCTCACGCCAGGCACCAGGTAACAGCGGCGGGTGTCTGGCTCATTCACGGGTTTGCAGAAACCTGGGGGCAGCAAGACAGATCATCAGACCCCTCCTGGGCTCCTCGGCCCCATCCTCCCCACTGAGGTCAGACCCCAGAGGCCTCTGGGAAAATCCCTCCCATCCATTCCCATGAGGGTGCAAACCAGGAAGCCTCCCTGGAGGTGGGAGATGGTGCTCTCCCCATCTGCCCCCTTCTGTCTGCCCTCCAGCAGGCTGGAAAGCAGGGTCAGCCCCCACTGAGCTCCCAAGGGTCTCGAGGCGACCCCCACCCTCAGGGCCACAGAAAAACATGCAGTTACCGACCACACCTCTCCGGGAAGACCTCGGATTATTGCTTCACAAACAGAGCAGGAGGACTGGGCATCCCTGGCCTCTGATTGGCTATAGCCAGTTACCAGACACCAGAGTCCAGATGGGTTCCGGGTTCTGGTTCTGAGTTCCAGGCACTGCTCACACCCCCTGTGGCTCGCACCCCCTGCGGCTCGCACCCCCTGCGGCTCGCACCCCCTGCGGCTCGCAGCCCCTGCTGCAGATGGCTCCAGGCACCACCCCCTCGAGGCTAAACTAAGACAATGGCTGACCCAGAGTGAGTGCTTCTTGTTTACAGGGCCTCCCTCATGCTCCCACCTCATCCCTAAGCCTCAGCCTCTCTGGGCCTCAGTTTCCCCATCTGCAAGATGGTGTCCTGATGGCGCCCACCTCTCTGTGCTCAAGCAGCTACACAGCAGGCACCCTGTCCGCGCTAGGGAAGGAGGCGCTGGGCAATCCCCACATTAGGCATAAGAAAAACTGAGGCCCGCAGATGCGCTGTTGGGAGGACGCAGAGCAGGTTCCAGGCAAGGCTGGGACCGGAACCAGGGTCTGCGTGACATCACAACCTCTCTCACCACCCCACATGACCTCTGCAGGGGAGTCCTCCTGCTCTTTGGGACCCCAAGGGGGGCCAACACATCCCAGAATGCGAGGAGCTGTGCCCCAGCCTGGGGTCTCCCCAGACCACCACCAACCCTAACTGCCAGCATCTCAGGCAGGGGCATCCGGAACCTGGCAGAGCTGGGCCAGGACAGAAGGGTGCAGGTCCCACCCCAGCCCCCCACCCCAGCCCTGGCCACACCCCCACCCGCCCAGGCCGCCTGTAAAACCAACCGGGCAGAACCCAACAGGCCCAGCAGTGACAGCCCAGAGAGTACCTCACAGGGAGGGGGCACGGAAGGCAGGGGGCAGGAGGCTGCCCCTGACCCAGCAAATGAACCCCTAAGCCACTCCTGGGGCAGACAGGGACCCCTGCTACATGAGGAGCCAGAGGGAAGAGGTTCCCGGTAGCTAGAGCTAGCTGATGCTCACTCACCAGGCTGGCCACCCTCCCAACTCCTATGCTGACCCCCGAAGCGGAACTGACCCCACTCAGGGGAATTTTGCACTATAGACCCCACCAGTCAGGGAGGCTCAGTGGCCCTCCACTTTCTCCCCAGACCCCCTGCAGCTTTCTTCCGGATGGGTGAAAGGGCAGTGTGGGGGGGCAGGTGGGTGGCCCAATGTGGGAAATGGGGGTGGGACATGTCCCCAAAGGATCTCAGTATCCAGCAGGGGCAGGGGTCTCAGGGCACAAAGACCCTCTCAGAGACCCCAGTGCTGGAGACTGACCAATACTGTCTGTCCTTAGAGGCAGCAAAGTAGCACCCAGCCCCCCACTCTCCGTCCCCTCCCAGGACTGGTGGTCACCCCCCCACGAGCCCTAAGAAGTGCTGAGGGGACATTTCACGCCCAGTGTCTAGTCCAGTCCACTACCCCTCCCCCACATTTGACAACTTCAAGACAAGCCCCCCCTCCCCACGGAAACGCTCCAGGCAACGCCCCCCCTCCTCTTTGGGGGGCAGAAGGAAGAGGCCAGAGGAAGCCACTCCCCCCCCAGCCTCCCACCCCCAGGCCTGCTGGGTTTAATGACCCTTCCGGGTCGCCCAGTGGGGGAGGGGAGCAGGGCAGGCCTCCACGTTGGGGCTGGTGGAGGGGGCAGGTGGGAACCCCAGAGCTCCCCTGGGCCGTGCCTGGGGCCCCCATGGCCGCCATTAACCCTAAGCTGGCGACGCCCACCCCCTCCAGACCCCTCCCCCAAGAGCCCTTTGTCCTCGGCCCCTACCCCCACTTTATGACAACCCCAAGGGAGAGGCATTCCCAGGCAGGGACCAGGCAGGGGTGGGGGTGCTGGGTGGTCGTTGGGACCCGACTAGGGGCCCAGAGGGATCCGGGGCCACACCCTCCCCCCAATGCCTCCCGGAGAGAGAGGTCACCCGCTCGGGCCGGGGCCTTGCAAAACACGGTTATTTAAAGAGTTGTGCAAGGCTGGGGCCCGCGGGTGGCGAAAGGGGCCCCTCACTCCACGAAGGGAAGAGGGGGTGGGGTGGGGCAGAAAGCTGGGGAGGGGGCTAGCAGAGTCGGGAGGGGGGCGGCCCAGAGGAAGTGAGAAAAGAAAACCCGAAGAAAGAGAAGAAATAAGACGACAAAAACCCCAGTCCGGATTTCAAAGGCTTCTTGGAAAGCGACCGATTTGCATGGGGTGGGGGGGGCAACCCCTCCGGCCCGGGCGACTAAAAACGGAAGATTATTGACAAATCCGCCGCCTGGGGTCGGACGCCGAACGTTGGAGTTGACAAACGCGCGCTCCCCGCGCTTCCTGCGCCCGCTTTTGTGTCTGGGGGGCACTGACCGAGGGAGGGAGGCTTTTCCCGGGGATCCCAGCCAGAGTGCTGGCCGCCCCGCGGAACCCCCGCCCGGGCGCGGGGATGGTGGGGGTCCCCCTCCAGGGGTCCTTTTCGGCTCCGGAGCCGGCACTTTATAAGTAAGCAGTCGGAGCTGGAGAGGGTCGCCAGCGAACTGCCCTCCCCAACCGGCGCTCCCGCTCCCCTCGGGACTCCGGAATAAAGCACCCGATTCCGGGGAGAAAAAATGAGATAAGAGCCCGGAGTGCAGCCCCCAGCGCGCTCCTAGAGACCACTTCCTTCCGCTGGGGGGTGAGGGGCAGCGCTCACTCGCGACCCCCGATCGCCCTCGCGCAATGTGGTGGGGGGGGGTGAGGTCTCCGAGGGGGGTCGCAGAGAAGCCCACCCCAACTCCGACCCGCTAGAGTCGCCTTCTCGGTCCTGAACCCCCACCCACGTCCCTGCCCAACTTTGGAGACCCCTTCGTTGGCTTCACGGGTGCAGTGCGCCCACCCAGGACCGGAACCCGCGACTTAAAAGGCCAGCCTCCCCCCCCGCCTCACCGCGCAGGGCCCGCTCGGGGGGCGCATGCCCTGCGCCTGGCGTCCGGCCCTGCCCCGGCCGCGCCTGGCCTCCGGCCCGGGCCGCGAGCTGCGCGCTGCTGGCTCCCGGCCGCCGCCGGGTTTGTGCCGCGCGCCGACTCACCGAGCCGCCAGCCGAGTCCGCGTCTACACCCCCATCCGACCCGATTGGTAAGAGTCTCCCCGCGCGCGGCCTCCCCCGCCCCTCCCCTCCCCCCGCCGGCGCGCTCACCGCCCCGCAGACAAATCACCGGGTGACAAATCGCTCTCAGATGCAAATACCTCGCCGGTGATTCAGCGCTGCGGCCCGGGACGCGGGGAGGGGTCTCGCGAGGCCCCCTCCCCCTTCCCGGACGCCCCCTCGCCCCCCGCACTCGGTCCGAAGACGCACCACCAGCCCAGGGGTGTTGGGGAGGGGGAGAGAGTGGCCAGAAATTTTCAGGTCACGGCCCCTTTAAATGATAATAAATAATAAAAAGGGAAGGGGAACAGCGACGCGGGAGGCCCCGCCCCCTGCCTAGGGACGGTGGGCAAAGTGCGAGCCGAGGCCCCGAGCGCACGGGGCGCGGAGGGCGCGGGCCGGACTGGGAGCGTCGGAGGGGGAGGGGAGGGGGTTGGACCTCCGCCGGGGAGGGCTGGAGGGACCCGAGCCGGGTTGGGGACCCCTTCACCATCTTCCCCGGCACCTAGAATGGGCCTGCCCTACCGAGCTCGGAGTTTCACCCCTGTCCCATAGACTAGAGACCTGGCTCTAGTGAGTTCGCCCCCCCCCCGCCCCCGGCAGAGCCTCCGTTGCCACATCTGTAAAATGGGGATTCAACACCCGGTGATGACGTGAGCCACAAGAACGAGAAATGAGAGCAGGCCGGGGTCTCAGGGAGGAGACCAGGGCCCTGAGATGGGGGCGCTGCAAGGTGGGGAGGGGTCTTGGAGAGGGAATGGCTGCGGGGCGTGGGGACACTAACCCAGCAGAATCGTGGGGGTGGCGGAGTGCATGCTGGTCCTCTGGAAGACTCCTAGTGAAGTCGAGACGACCCCTACCCCTGCAGGACTGTCACCCTCTAGGAGGATAGATTATCTCCTCGGTAATAATAATTTTAATAATTTTCCTATTCTGAGCCTGCCGTTGCCGTGAGCCCTGTGCACGGTGTTCACTTCTTTAAGTAGGGCGACTCTTGATGTCCCCGTTTCGAAGAGGGAAACAGAGGCACAGAGTGGGGTACGGGGAAAGTGGGGATGGGGTGTGGGCTCTGCAGGTCTGAGGCCCAGAGGCAATCCGTGGGGGCAGAGACCCAGGCCCCAACCCGGACAAGAGCCAAATGGGAGGGGGGGGCATTTGGCATGGGGGGGCACGTCTCAAGGGTCCCATCGGGTGGAGCTTGGGTCCATGGTCCTCACTGCTGGTTTCCCGTGCAGCCCCCTCCCTGTGCCCTAAGGCACACAGACGCCTTTTCAGGACATCAAGCCTCAGGCAAATTGCAGGCTTCCTGCTCTGGGGGGTGGGGGGTGGAGATTCACAAGCCAGGGCGGGTTTCGGGGGAAGCTACCCCCTACCCCAGGGCTGGAGTCCTGCCCATCAGCCCCAGGGCCTCCTGGAGCCTAACGGTAGCAGGTGGCAGGGGCCTCCACCTTTAGGCTATTAAACACCCAGCCCCGGCTGCCTGCCTACGCCCCCTCCAGTGGGAGGGGCAGAGACATCTGTCCAAGGAGGGGGACGTCTGGAGACCCAGGTGAGTTGGGTCCCTCACAGTGGTCCAGGCCCCAGGCCCCACTTCTCCAAAGTGCAGGAAAGCCTCTTTCCTACCAAAGAGCCAAACAGATCTGAATGCACCCCCCTGCCCCACCCCAGGTTGGATGCGTGGGCTGCTCTGTGCCTCAGTTTGCCCCCTGTGAAATGAGCCCATGTTAATTCATTCCTTGTGGAGTTGTTTTGAGGATTATATTTACTTCTGTTCGAAAGGAGGGGGGCATGGTGGGGGTACATGGAAGGGCAGGAGGGGGCTGCCCCTCCCCCATCTCCCAGGGGAAAGCTGTTGTCCATACTCTCCCAGAGGTGCCCAGCCCCAGAGGGTGAGGGGCTGCAGGATTCCCAGCTGCCTCCAGTGAGGGGGATCCTATTTTTAGCCCCGGGAGGGAGCTGGGAATTGATACACAGACTTGCTGGCTCCGCGGGGAGTGGGCAGCAGGCCCAGGTTCCAGCACAGTCCTGGCTACGTGATTTCCAGTTGGTGCAGACCCCTCTCTGGTCTCTGTTTCTAAAGCTGGGAAATGGGTACAGAGACACAAGTCCTATAAGGTTTCTTGGCCACACCATGTTGCCGGGCCCGTGTGGGTTTTGGACACCCTTCTAGAAAAAACAGGCGGCTCCCCACTCGGGGGTGGGGGTGGGGGCACCCTCTTAAAAACTCACCCAAATCCTGCCCTCTCCTCCTGCCCATGTTTTTCCTCCTCCAACATATTCCCACGTCTGGGCCTTTGCACTGGTGGCTGTCCTGGCTGGAGTCCCCTTTCCGGGTCACCTGAGGGCCCGTGCCCTCTCCTGATGTAAACTGGAGCCTCAGCTGCTCTGGGGGTCTCTCCCGGACCTCTCAGGGTCAGGTGTGCCCCCCATCATGTCACCCTGTTTCATCTTCATCTAGGTGCTTCTGTTTTGAAATGTCTTTGTTCCATTTAACCTACTCGACCTTGCTTGAAGCTGGATCTCCAGCCCTGAGGCTGTGCGTGGCACATAGTAGGTGCTCAATAAATGTTGGTTGGTTGAATGAATTCATGTGTTCCCTCTCTCACCCCATGGGATTTTTGGTGTCTGTCTACACAGAGGTGGAGGGCAAATGGACCAATTCACCATCTTGATTTCCAAAAACAAGCTTGGAAGAGGGTGCTGGGCCCTCTGTCCCCGACCCCTGGCCTCTACCTTGGCTTGTGCCTTTGAGCCAGGGTCCATGAAAATGCAATTTTAACAATTTTTAAAATAAGAAGGAAGAAGCAAATATACTGGTAAGGGATATGTGATAATACATCCAGCCTAAATTATGTTAGTATTTTTTTTTTTTTAAGATTTTCGTTTATTTATTAGAGACAGAGCGGGGAGGGGGGAGGAGGGGAGGAAGGGCAGAGGGGAAGGGAGAAGCAGGCTTCCCGCGGAGCAGGGAGCCAGACTGAGGGCTCAATCCCGGGACCCTGGGATCATGACCGGAGCCGAAGGCGGACGCTTCACCGACGGAACCACCCAGAAGGCCCAAAATTAGTTCTCATATCAACATAGTTGTAAAATAATCACATTTAGTACTTTTTTATGGACAAGACCCACGAGACAAAAGTGTCTAGGACCCGGGAAATGCATAATGCGGCTCTGCTTGACCCATTCTGCAGCGGGGAAACGTTTGGCCAGGGGTCCAGGTTGGGGTGCACACGAGCGACACCCCGCCAGGCGCTGGGGACTCCTTGGTGGGGTTGAACCAGAAACCTCCGTGGGGTGCGCGCACCACCTGCCGGGCACCTGCGGGGCTGCAGCGAGGAGCGGGGCCCGCACCGGGGCGCTGGCTCCCACAGGAGACCGCCAGGTGGCGCCGTATCACCTGAAAACAAGATTACCCGGCCAGACGGGGAAACTGAGGCCCGCGAAGTTCATTTTCTCCTCTGTAGCTCCTTTTGAATGCTCTACGGTAGAATTGCTAGATAAATACGGGATTCGCAGTTAAATTTTAAGTGTGTCACAACTATTGCACAGGACCTCCTTATACTAAAAAGCTTTTCAGGGCACCTGGGTGGCTCAGCCGCTAAGCGTCTGCCTTCGGCTCAGGTCATGGTCCCAGGGTCCTGGGTCCCCGCTCCGCGGGAAGCCTGCTTCTCCCTCCGCCACTCCCCCGGCTTGTGCGGATGCTCACTCTTTCTCTCTCTCTCAAAAATAAACAAGAGCTTAAAAAGCTTCTCATTGCTTATCTGAAGTTGAAATTAGCCCCTTCCCCTCCCCACCCAGACCCCCCAAGGTTTATCACTATCCGGTGGCCCTGGGGCATATCCCGCTCCTCAGATTGACTGTGCTGCCTGGCGCCCAGTCTGATGACTAAGAACGGTCATAGTAATGGAATAATACACTGGAAAAATCTCCTCCTACCTTGGACCACGTCCCTCCTTGCTTACAAGCCCCCACAGCTCCCATCACCACCAGGAAAGACCCAACTCATCCCTGCAGCTGACAATCTTCCCACTTCACCCTCCTCTGGCCACACAGGCCTTCTAGCTGTTCCTCAAACCCACTAGACATTTCCTGCCTCAGGGCCTTTGCACTGTCTGTACCCTATATCCCTTTTTGCTTTTCCACCATCTCCAAGCTGCATTCACATTTCCCAGACTCCGCTGTGCCAGGAAGCCTTCCTGGACTCGCCCCCACCAACGTCAGGATCCCAGTCACTCATGCAGGGCTCACAGGTGTCTTTCCTAACCCTCATCACTGCAGTCACTTTGCATGTCCCCAGATAGTTTGCCCCTCCTGTCCACGACCAGACAGGGGCTCTGTAGAGGTTGCTCCTTGTCACCGCTGGGGCCCAGCCGCCAGTGCAGAGCCTGGCACACGGGAGGGGCTCTGAAAACAAGATCCAGCTGAACAGGCTCCAAACCACTCCTCTTCCTGGACCTCCCTTTCAACCTTTTAACTGTGTGTGTTTTTCTGAGTTCATGGTAAATCCTAATACACACTTCACCAGGTTTCCCCTGATAGTGAGATTTTGCAAAATTGTACTACAGTATCACCACCAGAATGTCAACATCGATCCAATCCACCCACCTTATTTGGATTTCCCCATTTTTATGGGATAGAAGGGCTCCATCATGAGCGTCCCTCATCACTCATCTTTTCTCCATTCCCATAATGTCCTCATCACAAGGGTGCTGTCAGGTGGACTCACAGATCACGTAACCTTGGGGGGGGGTCTTTTTGTCCCACGTGATTCTGGGAGATCCGACCCAGGGCCTGTGTGTCTGCATGGGGTGTCCACGACTGCGTACCGCTGAGTGGTGTTCCGTGGGGCGGGCGGATCTGTTTGCCCAACCACTCACCGGTTGTAGGACACGCGATCTGTTTCCAGCATCGGCTGCCACAGGTAAAGCTGCTGGGAACATATGTGAACAGGTTTTGTGTAATGGGACTTTTCATTTCTCTAAGACAAAGGCCCCAGAGCCCCCTCTTTACCTTCTTTTTTAAAAATTCATTTTCCCAGTGGCACCTGGGTGGCTCAGTCGTCAAGCATCTGCCTTCGGCTCAGGTCATGGTCCCGGGGTCCTGGGATCAAGCCCCGCATCGGGCTCCCTGCTCTGCAGGAAGTCTGCTTCTCCCTCTCCCCCTGCTTGTGTTCCCTCTCTCGCTGTCTCTCTCTGTGTGTCAAATAAATAAATAAAATCCTTTTTTAAAAAATTCATTTTTTGGGGCACCTGGGTGGCTCAGTTGGTTAAGCAACTGCCTTCGGCTCAGGTCATGATCCCGGAGTCCTGGGATCGAGTCCCGCATCAGGCTCCCGACTCAGCGGGGAGCCTGCTTCTCCCTCTGACCTTCCCTCTCATGCTGTTTCTCTCTCTCTCTCAAATAAATAAATAAAATCTTAAAAAAAATAAAATAAAAATTCATTTTTTCCCGCAGAAAAGGTGCCACTCCCTCTGCACACATCTCCTCTTTTAGCCCCCACAACACACTTGGTCATTTATCCCACAAATATTTACTCAGCCCTACTGTGCGCGGGGCCCTGGGACACAGCGGGGACCGAGTCAGACAGGCAGCCAGCAGGTGCCACAACAGGACATGGGGGTTGTGATGGGGGAGGCCAGGCACATGGATGAGAGGGTCCCAGGGGTGCTTTCCAGAGGAGGAGGCAGCTGAGCTGAGACCCGGTGGGTGACTGAGAACAGCTGGCACAGCAAAGGGACCCGCGTGTGCAAAGGCCCAGAGGGCAGAGGGATGGCACCAGTTCAAGCAGCTGCCGAGAGACCATGAGTTGGGAGGGTGGGGGTGGGGGCGGGCGGGGGTGGCAGGGCCTGCGGGCAAAGGGGGAGAATTTCACCCTCTTGTCTCGCCCAGTCTGGAAGCTAGTGTTGGAAGCAAGAACGAGCAAGCTTCAGGGGCACCCGGCCGGCTCCGTCAGTGTGAGTGTGTGACTCTTGATCTCAGAGTCATGAGTGTGAGCCCCACGATGGCCATGGGGCCTACTTAAAAAAAAAAAAAAAGAACCAGTAAGCTTCAGGCCGATGTCAAAATGGCCCTATGTTTTGGCTTCTTGGTCTCACAGTAACATCTCTGCCAAGTTGGATTGTTTGAAAGCACATGACGTCCCCAGATAATCTGGGGGGACTGGGGCCCTCCCAGAGACGGGGGTTGCCCTGCGGGGTGAGTAAGCCTCAGCCTGCAGGGCTGGTGGGGGAAGGCTGAATTAATCCTCCCCCCCCCCCCCCCCACAGCCACACCCAAGTGGCCTCTGGGTAGGACTCGGACAGCTCCCAGGATTCAGGGTGGAAAAAGGGAAAAAGCGATGTGGTGGGACTTCTGAGCCCAGGCCTCCAAGCCCTTGAAGTGGCGCCTTTCAGAAGCTCTGCCAAGGGATGAGTCTGACTGTCCCCAGCCCACCAGGCTGGGAAGAAGCCAGGGCGGCCGCACCGAGGCATGAGCTCAAAGCCTTCTCGGGCCTCCTGGTCCAGCCCCAGAATGGTGGGTGACAGTCTGCGGCTGCCGGGCCACCTTCTGCTTTGGGGTGGTTTGTCATGGAGCACACCCTGAGGTGTGCTCCTCACACCGGCAGCTCCGTGCTCCCAGGAGGACCTGTTTACTCAGTGATGCCCGCCATTTCACCGGCAGGACTCTGAACACTTGCCGGCAGTAGCACTAGGAGCTTATCTCTGCCATTTTAAAATGCACACGGTGTTCACATTTTAATATTTCTGGAGAATGGGACGAAGCTTACAGTGTTACCATTGCAAGGCAGTGTGTGAAAAATGTCTGTTGATGCTTTGGGGGGAAGTTCCAGAGAGTGCCAGTATCCAAGTGTATTCAATTTCAGGAAATACAGAAATAACTCATTACAACATCAATAGCAGCAAATTTGTACGGAACCATCAGGAGGACAAGACGTTTTCACTATGATTCTGTTGCACGGAAATAAAGACATTGATTATAACCATATAGTAGCAGCTGCTCTTCAAGCAGCCCCTGTCCCAGAGGGGCCCAGCTCTATCCCCCAGAGTTGGCCCAGAGAGGGGCAGCGCGTTCCCTCAGGACACACAGCCTGTGTGCTCCCTCGGGACACACACACGGCTCCCTGGCGTCTGGGTCCTGGCGGTCGCCGCGGGGGCGGCCAGGCGGTGCAACTCCGTGTGGGGGGCGGTGGGGTCTGAGGGTCCAGACCCCCGGTGCTGCGGGGGCCTCCGGGGAGCGCAGGGGCAGACCCGGAGGAAGGCCTGTCGGAAGTGGGAGCCCAGGAATGCGTAGAGCAGCGGATTCAGCGCGGAGTTGCTGTAGGACATGCAGTGTGCCCAGATCTTGAGCGCGTAAGCGGTGTAGCTGCGCGGGTGCCAGGCGCCCGCTGGGCCCACCGCCTGCAGCACCAGGAACAGCTGGATGGGGCCCCAGCAGGCAGCGAAGAGCAGGACCACCGCGGCCACCAGCCTGGAGACCCTGGCCCGCACGGCGCTAGCTCGCTCTGCCCCCAGCTGCCCCTGAGGGGTGGAGGAGACGCTGTAGGCTGGCGGGGCAACCGTCGGAGCTCCCCTCCATTTTATTTATTTATTTTGTTTTGTTTTGTTTTGTTTTTTAAGCTCTATGCCCAACGTGGGGCTTGAACTCACGACCCCGAGATCAAGAGCTAGCCAGGCGCCCCCAGAGCTCCCCCTCTTGACCCCTGCGCATTCTCCCACTTTGCCACTCTCTCAGAGTCCTCCAGGTGCGCCTCCCCACCCACCCAGCAGCACACCTGCAGGGCGCTGTCGGTGGCCGCGGGGCGCACGGCGGTGCGGCCCAGGTGGCGCAGCATGGCCCCGTAGCAGGCACAGGTGGCGGCCAGCGGCAGCAGGTAGAGCGCCAGCAAGTTGTAGAGAGCGAAGGCCCGCTCGAGGGCGCGGCTGGGGAAGACCTCACTGCAGTAGGTGCGGGGCCCCGGCGAGAGGCGGTGCAGAGCGAGCACCGGCGCGGACACGGCCGCAGAGCCTGTACCACAGGGCAGCTTGAAGACCTTGCCCGAGGGACGAGAGGCGCCAGGAGGCCAGGACCCTGGGCCCCCCCAGGTGCCTCCTCGGGCAGCGTCACCGAGCGCCTCCCAGGCGCGGGGGGGGGCCCTCAGGGTGCGCGCCTTCGGTGGCTCTTCACAGGGAGCGCTATTGAGCCCACTTCCCAGATGCACGCACGACCGAGGCCCGGACAGGGGCAGTTGGGGGTGGGGGTGGGGGCGCCCGAGGCACAAAGGCTTGTCCTCGCATTCCCGTGCGGCCCTCGCGCTGCACTCACCCACCCAGATGCCGAGGCTGACCGCCAGAGCCAGGCGGGGCGTGCGGCGGTGCAGGGCGCGCAGTGGGAACACGGTCACGTACCAGCGGTCCACGCTCATGGCGGTCAGAGTGGCGCACGTGGCCTGAACCGAGACCTGCGAGGGCCGAGAGCGGGGCGTTTCTCCCGGTGTTCGGTCTGGGGCCTGCCCTGTCTGCGCCCACCCTGCGGCTCCCCCCCTCAGACGTCCAAACGCTCAGGCACAAACGGGACGCGTCCTCGGAAGGTCTCCAGGGGCCACGGGTTGAGGGGCAGGAGAGTGGGACACCAGAGAGGATCCCAGGATAGTGGGGGTTTGAGGGGGCCATTTGCGGTCCGCTGAGACCCGGGACTGAGACAGGGGCAGGCAGAGCCATCCTAGGGTCGCGGGACGGGCGGGGCAAGAAGCCGCAGGGCTCAGATCGCTCTCTCTATCCCCGCCTCGGTACCCTTATCTCTCGCGACTGCGGGGGCCTCCCCACCGCGGCCCGTTCCAGGCTCCACCTCTTCCTCGGCCCCGCCCCACCCGCGGCCCCGCCCGCCCACACCCAGACCCCGCCCCTTGGCCCTCCCCTCCCCCCACACCCCGAGCCCGTGCACCTGCTGCATGTAGTTGACGAACTTGCACATGAAGTCGCCCAGCACCCAGGCGGGCAGCGGGTAGAGCAAGGCCGTGAAGGGCACGCAGCACAACAGGAAGGTCACATCCGTGGCCGCCAAGTTGGCTGCAGGCAGGGAACGCACGGGGGGGGCCTCAACCACCCAACGCCCCTGGCCCAGCCCCCTGGTCTTTGCATTTCTCCGAGTAACCAGCAGGACCGCTGGTGGGAAGGCCCCCCGACACCTTGGGCAGAGAATTTGGGGCACCCCTCCAGTCTCCCACTGTTACATTGCAAACATCCCCCCGCCCCCGGCACGGGCTTCATTAGCCATTCAAGCGCCAGTCCGCGGCTCGCCCCCTGTCTGGGCTGGAAGAGGCTGAGCAGGCCCCTGCCTCGCTGAGCTTCGGTCTCCCCGTCTGCAAACTGGAGACGGCGGTGCTAGCCCACCCGTCACCATCGAATAGAGAAAATGAGCACTCACCTGTGCCAGGGAGGCCGGCCCATCACACAAATGTGTGAACCGAACCATGGGGGCAAAGGTCGCAAACTGGGGGGTCCCGCAGCCCCTCCCCGGACTTCTGTTCATTGTTATAAGAGCCACATTTTAATCAGACACCGTCCTCAAGTGGCAGGGCCGAGCTCTCCGTGGGCCATTGTCCAAGCTCCCTTTGAACTACCCCGCACGGAACCCTCGCCCGCAGAGCTCTGGAGCTCTAGCCCCAGACAGCAGGGAGAGGGCCTGCGTGGAGAAGCCACGGCGCGCCGCTGCGGGGCGCCGCGGCCGCTCTCCTCTCGCGGGGGGCCCCGGAGCGGCAGGCAGGGGCCGTGCAGCTCACCTATGTAAAAGTTGGTCACCGTCCGCATCCGCTTGTGGCGGCAGATGACGAAAATGACAAGAGAGTTCCCTGCCAGGCCGAGGAGCATCAGCGCGGCGAAGAACAGCGGCACGAGCCAGGCGTCCAGCGGCCGCGGCTCGGGGTCCGGGCCGTCCGAGGCGTCGGCCAGCGCCCCCCAGGACGCGCTGGGGGCCGACGTGGCCAGGGCGCTCATGGCTTCTCCGCCCTCTTCCTCCTCGCCGCCCGCCGGACTGCGCCCCGGGATGGCCGCGGGGACCCTCCTCCTGGCCGCCCGCCGGACTGCGCCCCGGGATCGCCGCGGGGACCCTCCTCCTGGCCGCCCGCTGGGGACACGCCCGCGGAGCCCGGGGAAGGGTCTCGGCTGGAGGCCACCGGGTCTGCAGGGCGACTCCGCTGGGCTGGGCAGCTTCTCTGCTCCCGACGCAGCCCCTCGAATTTGTACCCTGCTGCCCCGCCTTCGCGCCTCCCCTGCAGCCGCTCGTCATTCCGGCTCCTTCCTGCGCGCCCCCCATCCACGCGCACAGCAAACTTCTCCCCCTTTCTTCTCCTCGCACAGTCCGGCGAGCGAGCGCACAGGAGGCGACAGGCTGGAGGAGGGGCTTGGGGCTCAGGGGAGAGGGGCAAACTGCGTGGAGGTTGCTGTGGGCCCCAGAAGGACGATCCTAACAGGAGGTAGAGACTCTGAGGATGGGCAAACAGCCCGGACCAACACACAGACGCAAGAGTAGGCACCTTGTTAGTGGCCATGACTTTGACCTCTCAAGTGGCTGGGGCTCCAGATGCAAGGTGGGACACTGGAGAGCCATGGATGGCTCGGAGCAGGGCAGGGCTGCCCAGGATCTAGCGGTTAGAAGACGCCTGGTCTTAACTCAACCTCGCTAGGACTCCATTGCTGTAAATGGGAGAGACCGCCCCCCACCTAACTGGCAGCGGATAGCAGATACTCCCACTGGGGACATGGGCACCTGTGCCCCTGGTGGTAGGAACCAGGTGGAGGGCAGTTTGCAAGGACACTGTTGGCCCCCCCATCCAGAAATGGACCCCAGATACTACGCACGAAGCATGCCTCAGTGTGCCAGGATGTTCCTGCTATCACGGAGTACCACGCAGAGACAAAAAGATGCCACTGTTGACGAAAACACGACTAAGAGGTGGGGGAGGGGAGAAAGAAATGGGGAACATCCTGGCATTGAGGCACATGGGTCATCTCCAGTGGGAGTGCAGAGCCTTGGAGAGGGGGCATTCCCTGTTCACCCTCTTTCCACCTTCAAAATGGTCTAGAAAATCAGAAAGGGAATGAGGAACAGCTTAGGATGAGGAGATCCAAGGTTGCTAGGATGGAGGATCTCTTTGGAGGGGGGGGGATGTTGTTGAGTCTAAGGGCCTGGGAGAGGACCTTTGAGGTGGGGGCCATGGGCAGCAGTGGCCACAGCAGCTCCTGGGCAGGCCAGGAGTCCAGGAGGGTGTTAGGAAGGTACCACACAGGTTTCCTGGGAAGGAGACTCCAGTATCAGGGTGAGGCCCACACTGCATCCTCTAGAATTAGCACATTCATTGAGCAGTTAGTCATCACGGGCCAGACCAGGGAACCAAAGGCTCCCGGTCCCCAGGGCCCCCTCCCCATCACTCTGCCCAGAAGTGCCCTCTCCTGGGATTTGTGTCACCACTGAGTCCTGTTGCCTCTTTTCACATTTATCTATGTGATGTCACACAGCACATGCTTTTTGGGGTCTTTTAGCAGCTCCTCCTCCTTATCATAACTCCTTCCTCACCTGTTGCTCTTTATCTGTTAAAGCAATCGGGTCATTTGACCTGCACAATTTCTAACAGGCTGCGTGTGGTGGGTTGTATCCCCGTGGTGTCACTTCACATGGTCCCGGATCCCCACTCTTCTTCATGGACCTGGATCCCCACTCTTCTTGTAGACGGAAGGGTGGATTCTAGATTCCACAGTAGGTTTAATTCTCTTCTCTAAACCCTCTTGTAGCTCCCCATTGCCTCTGAACAAAAACCGGACCTCCCGTCACGGGACCGCCAGGCTCACGGATCCACCCTCTGCCGCCTACCTCCATCCCCCTTGTGCTCACTCATCACACTGCTCTGGTCACTCTGGATGCCGCAGGGCCTTTGCACTGGCTGTTCTCTCTGCCTGATTCGCCCTTCCCACTTTGCAGCTTACCAGTCTCTCTCTCAGAGAACTCCTCTTCCCTACCCATTCAGTGGGGAAGGGGTCTGTCTTGGTCCCTGCTGCATCCCCAGAGCTCGTCACTGGGCCCTGCCCACAGGGGGCGTTTGTGAAATGAACAAATCCTTAAAGGTGGAAGGGGGTGGGATGTTGTCCTACTTTTAGAGATGAGTAAACTGATGCACCCAGACCATGCTCCCCGCGCTGCGCTGGAACAGAGGGCTGGGAGGGGCTGGTGGAAGGAAATGCCAACTTGGTGTTGGGGGTTGGGTGGTCTGGGGCTTGGGTCATTTCATCTGTCCCCCGCCTCTGAAACGGATGTCCCCCTCTTTCCTGGCTACCCAGGCCTCAGTTTCCCCGGCCATCTACTGGAGGCTGGGTGCCCCCCCCCCCCCCCCCGCAGCCCGGCTTCAGGGGCAAGGATCACGCTACCTCCCCCCTCAGTTTCTTCGTCTGTTCCTCCGGGCTGGGTGTCCCCCATCCCACACCCGCAGACTGGGGGCTTGGCCGCGGTCCCCGTTCTCCGCCTCGGTTTTCCCGTGTGTCCCCGGGGCGGGGGGCTCGCCACCCGCAGCCCGGGATCTAGCTGGCTGCGTGGCCTCGGCCCCCGCCCCGCGCGTCCGGCCTCCAGGCTCCGCCCCGGCCCGCCTCTGGGCGCCCGTCACTTCCTGCTCTGCCCCGAGAGGGCCCTGCCGGGCGGCGGCGACAACACAAGTCGAGCCATGGTCGCGCTGGAGAACCCGGAGGGCGGCTCGGAGGAGGCGGTGGCGGCGGTGGGAAGCGCCCCAGGCGGGCGGCGGACGCTGTGAGCGCGGCGGGGCGGGCGGGCCATGCCTCCTGGGACTCCAGCACCCCCTCCTCTCCTCTCTCCCCTCCTGTCTGGCTGCAGCCCCAGGCTGTCCCGCCCCTTTTCTTTGAGGAGACCCCAGACCGCGGTGGGGGTGGGGTTAGGGGGCTTCGTTGCCACCCGGGGAAATCCCATCCCCGACACGCCCGAGTATTTGGGCAGAGGGGGCACACCCCGTTTATGCGTTTACATGCCTCCGGGGCCCAGAGGTGCCCCCCCAACCCCATGCCCGGGTATTGACTCACTTTGGGGGGGGGGGTCTCATGCGCCTTGTCACCGGCTCAGGTGAGGTGGTGCCGCTGCGCGCGGTGTCCCCGGAAACCGCTTTGGTGTTGTTCTGGGTATTTACCCACAAGCCGCTCTTCTTGTCCCCAAGCTGGGTAGGTACCCCACAGCCAGTCCTGCGCTTCCCTGTGGGGATTATCAGCCCCCCACCTCCTGAGTAGACAGGGCTCTTTGTTCCTGAGTACTTGACAGATTAAATGTGTGCGGTGCTTAAAATCCTGGGTCAGCAGGAGCTGAAGAGGGTGGAGCCACCCGCTCTGGGTACAGACCCCAAAGGGTCTGGGACAGATTCCTATTTAATCAGAGTGTTCCCGCAGAAAACCGTGCCATCCAACCTGTGGTCCTGGTTTGGGGGGGGGGGCAAGGAGACCACTGCCTCCTCTGTGTGCTGGGCCAGCCGCCTGAGCAGTATATGCCTCAGTTTCCCCATCTGTAAAATGAGATATAAATAGTGGCCTCTTCTCAGAACGGCTGGGATGGGGTGGGGAGAGGTCAACGACCATGTGCTCAGCAGAAGGAAGCATCCGTTTTTTTCTTTTCTTTTTTAAGATTTTATTTATTTGACAGAGAGAGAATGAGCAGGGGGAGTGGCAGAGGGAGAAGCAGACTCCCCTCTGAGCGGGGGGCATGTGGGGCTCAATCCCAGGACTCCGAGATTATGACCCAAGCCAAAGTCAAATGCTTAACCAACTGAGCCACCCAGAGGCCCCAGGAGCATCCATTCTTTAACTATTATCTGAAACATCTTATTATTTAATTTGTTTCATTATTGTTTCATTATTACACTTATTATTACCTCCTTGTGATTTCCACCTGGGCCTTTACCCAGAAGCCATGTGGGTCTCTACAGATGTGGGTAGTTACCTTGTTTTAAGGGGCCTTACCCATGCAAAGTGGGTATTAACCTGCCAGTGGGTCCCCACCGATGTACCCCGGTGTTCCTTCACCCCTGTGTGTCCCCGGGGGTGTGGTCACTGCTGGGGGCCCCAGCTGGCCCCACCCCAGCCTGAGTCACCTCTCCGCTCTGAGCCTTCCCCCGCCTCAGTTTCCTGCTTCGGGAAATAGGTTCCTCTCTTGCCTCTTCCTGGGGGAGGGGACTTGTGCCAGAGAAAGTAGATTTTAGCCCAAGAGAACAGGTGTCAAAAGGCCTCATTTCAAAACCCGCAGGGAACAGAATTCGGGGAGACACAGGGGCCTATTCTCCCCAAACTCAAACCTGAGTTAGCAGGTGTTTCTACCTTGGGCCTGTCCACCTTCACTGGGCACAAGCAACTTTCACGATGCAGACACTTCCCGAGTCCCGTCGGGTCCAGGAAGCCAAAGGTGCCCTGTCTGGGTCCTCAGTTTCCCCATCTGTAAAGTGGTCTCTTTGGGTGGCCTGGAAAAGAGCTGAACTGGCCCTTCGGCAGGTGCTGGGGACACTCCTCTTTGTAAGTGTCTGATGTGGGAGGTGAGGAGTAAGTAGTAAACAGATACGTGGACCAGCTGATTGGGCTAGTCAGGAGCAGGGTGGTTTCTCCCAGGAGGTGACATCTGGACAGAGACCAGAATGTTCTGAGAAAGTGTACTTGAGGCAGAAGGCTCAACATGTGCAAAGGCCCTGAGGCAGACTGTTCCTGGTCTGGAGCAGAGGACCCTCAACCTTCATTACAAATCTGAATTGCTGGGTATTTGTGGGCTGCTGCTTCTGCCCTCCCACTTCCGCTGTCCTCTCTTTCTTGAGTGGGGGTCCGGGCCCAGCAGTTGACCCTGGAGGCCACAGGTTTCTTGCCTTCTGCTGGAATTTGGTTGAAGTCAGCAAGCTTGAGTTGGTGGCGGGACTCAATTCCCGGTGCTCAGCTCAGTGCATGAGGCCCACGAGGTGGTGGTGAACCCTCCGAAAGCCTGTGGGGCCAGGCACAGACCCCTGTGTTCCCGGTACAGGACAGGGCAGGGCTGGGCCTTGCCCTGAGCGTTCTGGGGAGCCATGCATGGTGGTGGCGCAGGGGAGGGCCCAGCTGGGACTTAACTAGGTAGGGGCATGGAACTCTGTGGGCTCAGAGAAGCAGGAGGTTGAATGGTTCGAGGGGAGTGTTCCCGTTCAGGCCAGGTTCAAATCCTGGCTCTGCCACCCTCGTGAGGTGATGGGGAAGCCCCATGTCCCGAGGGCTCAGCCCTGCCCTGACATTTCCTGATAGGTCCCCCCGGATGCGGACTCTGTTATCGGCCCCAGCAGGCTGCTATTCTGGACTTGGTCCAGCTGCCAGGGTAGAGACACAAGCACTGGAGCCCTGGGGAGGCCGTGGGTGAGCTGGGGCTCACAGTGGGGGTGCTCGGGCCTCAGGGAGGCAGCCCCCAGGTTGGAGCCAGCCTCACAGTCACTGGCTCTGTGCTGACTTGATTTGCCTCGTCCTGTCTTTGCTGCCTTCTTTGCAACGGTGGGGTCTCGGTTTAGTGACTCTGTGCCTCAGTTGCAATTCTGTATAATGGGCATCAGCTTGATATCCCTGGTCTCCTGGCATGATCGTAATGGTGAAAATGAACATTCAGTCCAGAGACGATGCTGTGATCAACAGTGCGACATAGGGGGTGAGCTCCCCATAACAGGAGGAAACCAAGCAGGCAGTGCCTGAAGTCAGTGGGGCAGGCGCCTGTCCTGGCCCTCTTGGCTCTGAGTGTCCCCTTTCAGACCCACGGGCACCTTTTTATCTTCGCTTTGCAGAGAGTGAGCTGAGGCTCCAGGTAACACAGCGAAGCATCCTAGCTGGGATTTGAACTCAGGGCTGAGATTCCAGGGTCCACCCAGTGCCTCTTCCTGTGTGTTCCTGTTGATGGGTGCTTGTTCACGTGTGAGTTTATTCATGAGGCAACAGCATGGATTTGGGTGGAAACTGTTAACTACCGAGCCTTGGGCCACTTACCTGCTCCACTGTGCCGGTCAGGCAGTGCGGAGTCTCATCAGCCTGTTTGGTTTTTGATCAAGACGTGATGGCCATTCTATATCGTACAGATACTTAATGCTGGGGACGCTTTACATATGTATGGACCCTGAGGAGCACTGACTTCCTTCCTAACCCCTGCAAGGGTACTTGTCTCCACCGCCCTAGAGTTTCATGGTTTGGAGGGGAGAGGCCACACTTCTGTTTTTAGTTTTTGTCCTGGGAACTTGGGGTACTAGGAAAGTTTGGAGGGGTATTTTGGACTCTCGGTTCCACTCAGTCTTGGAATCGTGGGATTATTTTGAGAACTGATCCGGCGTCCCCGGCATGGCTGTGAATGTCTGCGTGGGGATTACCGTGTTGTGGGCGAGGTGGGCAGTTACCAATGAAGTAGAATGTACCGTGATCAGAAAAACAAAGCAGTGAGGTTTACACAGGGGGTCGGGGGCTCTTGAGAGGTTTGAACAGAGCCAAAGGAGATGAGTGAGTGAGCCATTCAGGGTCTGGGGGAGCATGCACTGGGCAGGGGGCACTGCCCGTGCAGAGGCCCCCAGGTGGGACTGTGCCCGGCATGCTGGCGGGGCGGCAAGGAGGCCATGTGCTCTCAGCCTGTGGTCTGGGGGTCATCGGGGGCTGACCAGGAAGGTGGGAACTCCTTGCCAGGACATTTCCATCTAGCGCCCCCTCCCACCCCCTGTGTCTGCAGGTGGCCCTCGAGTCCCCAGTGGGAGTCCCGGCCAAGCTGCTAATCCATCTCCACCATTAATGCCATTTGCCTGGAGGAGGTCAGATTAGTTCCGAGGAGGCCACTCCAGCCCCACCTCTGGGCACATCTCAGGGGGACTCCGGGGACTTGAGGCAGATGGGCTCAGGCATCACCTTGAGCTTCTGGGGGCTGTTGCCTGGTTTATCTGCTGCTGGCACGGGAGATGCTCCATTAAATCAAGTCTCCTGAGAGACTCCCAGAGGAGGGTGGTGGTCAAATCCTGGAGACTCTGGGTCCTGCCAGCTTGCAGTTACGATCTGGAAGCCTGGGGGAGAGGGGAGAAGCTTTTCTTGGCCACCCACCCACAATGTGAATTTGGACAAGTGTCTTCTCTTCTCCGGGCCCAGCTTCCTAATCCGTCGTCACAATTGTACAGGCCTCCTGGGTGATGGGACCATGAAACAAAATGAAATTTTTTTTTTAAATTTTATTTATTTAATTGACAGAGAGAGACAGCGAGAGAGGGAACACAAGCGGGGGGAGTGGGAGAGGGAGAAGCAGGCTTCTTGCTCAGCAGGGAGCCCGATGCGGGGCTCGATCCCAGGACCCTGGGACTGTGACCGGAGCTGAAGGCAGTTGCTTAACCAACTGAGCCACCCAGGCGCCCCGAAACAAAATGAAATTTGAAGGGTCTAGGGTTCCACAGAGCTCCCCATTGCTGAGGGAAACCAAGCAGGTGATGGCTATGGTACAGGGGCTGTAATGGGGTTCTGCCTGGGGGTCCTGGCCTGTGTTGGCCCTGAGGCCTGCCTCCCCACCCCAACCCCGGCCCACAGGCCCCTTCCGGGCTGCCTGCCCGCTCTAGCTGGCTCCCAGGTGAAGAGGCTGTCAGCCTCCAAGCGGAAACAACACTTCATCAACCAGGCTGTGCGGAACTCAGACCTCGTGCCCAAGGCCAAGGGGCGGAAGAGCCTCCAGCGCCTAGAGAACAGTGAGCAGGGCTTGGGGGCACCTCCTGGGGGTTCCTAGGGCTCACATGAGAATGGTGTGTATGTTGGTATTATCTGTTGTTTTTGCCATGAGTCTGACCCTGAGCTGGGCAATGCTGGGGCTGGGCCTTAAGGAGCTCTGGGCATTGGAGCTTGGGTTTTCAAAGACGTCTAGGAGTTCAACAAGCCAGGGAGGAGTAGGGGTTCTGGAGGTCGAGGCTAGATGGTGTCTGTGCCTTCTGGGAAAGACAGTTGGAGCTTGGAGGTGGGGGGACTGGTGTGAGCCAGAGGGTAAAGGCCTTAAATGCAGAGACCAGGAGTTTCTGTGGAGACTGGGGGGCCCCAAGTGCCACCCCCCCCCAGCCCAGAGACCATCTGTTTCCGTCTAGCCCAGTACCTCCTAACCCTGCTGGAGACGGACGGGGGCACAGCTGGTCTGGACGATGGGGACCTGGCCCCCCCGGCAGCACCCGGGATCTTCGCAGAGGCCTGCAGCAATGAGACCTACATGGAGGTGCGGCTCCCGTGCCCTCCTCCCCCCTCTGCTCTGGCCACACTGGCCCCTCTCTCGTTCTCACCACACCTGGCCTGTGCTGGTCCCTCCCTCAGGAGTGCCCGTCTGCGCCCATCCCCCTCTGGTCCCTTGATGAACACCCTCTCTGTTTCCCTCGGGCTCCCCAGACCAAGCCAGAGCTCCCACCACACCCCAGAACTTCCCAGCACTCCTGATTCATCTGCCCATCATTGGGAATGAATGAGTCCACTGGGGGCGTGTTTGGCCCATGTCACTCCCCTGCCCCAGACAGGCAGGTCTGCGGGTACCCCACAGACTCCTGGCCAAGCCCAGTGGGCAGATGTGTCTCCGAGGAGTCTGTCCACACACTCTGGCCCTCTGTGCCCATTGGCTAAATGGAGAACCTGGGGCTGGAGACACGCAGTCATTAGCCTGGGTCCTGCCTGCCTCTCTTCTAGGTCTGGAATGACTTCATGAACCGCTCTGGGGAGGAACAGGAAAGGGTTCTCCGCTACCTGGAGGATGAGGGCAAGAGCAAGACACGGAGGAGGGGGCCTGGCCGCGGGGAGGACCGACGGAGAGGTGCGGGCCTAGACGGGAGGTTGGGAGGACCAGAGGAATGGAGGGGGGCCTGGCTGATCGTGGTTTGGGCCGGCCAGGAACGGGTGGGGAGGAGCCTGGTGCCTGGGCCGTACCTGGGGGGGGGGGGGAGGGGGGGGGGGACCCCGGGGCCGGGCGGGGGGGGGGGGGGGGGGGGCTTGTGGCATGGACCGTGCCCTGGGGGACGGGTGGGGAGGAGCCTGGCGAGTGGGCGGTGCCCGGGGCCGGTGGGGGAGGAGCCTGGTGAGTGGGCGGTGCCCGGGGCCGGTGGGGGGAGCCTGGCTTGTGGGCAGGCCAGAGGCTTGCTCCAGCGGCTGCCCCACTCAAGGAAATCTTGTAGAGGACCCGGCCTACACACCTCGTGACTGCTTCCAGCGCATCAGCAGGCGTCTGAGAGCCGTCCTCAAGCGGAGCCGCATCCCCATGGTGAATACCAGGCCAGGCCTCATCTTTCTCCACCTGCTTGGTCTTTCTTGATGGCCTTTCTCACCTTCTGAATTGGCGGTGGTGTGATGGGAGATCCTTTACCCAGTGCAGGTGGTGTTGGTGGAGACGAGGCAGAATACAGACCAGATCAGTGTGATCAGCCTGCAGGAGCCAGGGCTGGGAAAGGGCTTTCCCTGAGGGCCGGGGGGGCAGGGACAATGCAGGTCGGTACTGCAGGATGTGTAGGAGTTCACGAGGCAGAAGGCACAGGAGTTCAACAGTATGGCGATATCTCAGTCCTGCTATCTTTGGAAAGGGTTAGGTAGCCTCGTGTAGCAGGTCAAAGGCCACATTTGAAGCTAGGACTCTGGCCTCCAAAGGCAGCCCTGGGCACGGGGCCTGGACAGCTTGTCCACAGTTTCACGGTTGGCCTCACCCCTAGACCCGTTTCTCCTGCAGGAAACGCTGGAGACCTGGGAGGAGCGGTTGCTGAGGTTCTTCTCTGTGTCTCCCCAGGCCGTGTACACGGCCATGCTGGACAACAGGTGACTGGGTGGGAGTGAGCGCCGTGTGCTCCGCCAGGGGTCTGCCTCTGGCCCGCGGCCACTTACCATCCATTCCCCTCCAGTTTCGAGAGGCTCCTGCTTCACGCCATCTGCCAGTACATGGACCTCATCTCAGCCAGTAAGTGCTGCTGGCCCGCAGGACCCCACCTGGCTGATGCAGCCCAGGGAAGCCAAGGCCAGAGTCACGCAGGGTCTGGTTACTCAGGGGGAGACTTCTCGGGGAGGAGGGGCGGCATGAGCAGAGGGTGGGTGGTGGGACTGATGATGACGAATGGAATGATGAATGGTGATGCATTCATTCATCAGAGGCCCCTCGTGAGCCTGGCTCCAGGCTGGGTGATGCCGTGGGCACAGGTGCTCCTCAGTCTGCATCTTCAGGGCTGCAGGGAGAGAGGGGCCTGTGTGGCATCCGGGCCCCCCAGGACAAGAGGCAGAGTTCTATTTAGCTGTAGCCCCCCTCCCCTGTGCCACACATGTGACATTGACCAGTCCCCCAGGGAGGGTCCTCACAGGCCCTTGCTGCCTCTGGGCGCCCCATTGGGTCCTTGCTCCTCATCGGCGCCTCCTGCCCAGAGTTGCTGAGGAGACGGTTTCCATGGCAACCCTAGGATGGCTCCTCCTAAGTCCTCCCCTGGTGGATTCGCAGCCCCCGTACCTCTCTTTGTTCCCACAGACTCAGGACAGAAGGGCTGGGCTGGGGGGTTGCTTCTCTGTGGGAGTTGAGCCGAGGCCTGAACCCAGAGGAGGTTGGGCCCTGAACAGATGGGGAGTAGGGGAGCCGGAATGGCCCAGGTAAAGGCCCAGAAGTGGGACCGAGCTTGGGGTACACTGGGCTAGTTCAGGTTTGGGAGTGAAGGGAGGTGAGGGAGAGGGAGGCTGGTGGCGGCTGGGGTCCCCCGTGAGGGCAGGGATGGAGGTGGTGACCTGGGGGCCCAGGACTCCCGCGGTCCCGTCACTGCTGCCCTCCTTGCCCCCCTCACAGGTGCCGACCTGGAGGGCAAGAGGCAGATGAAGGTCAGCAATCGGCACCTGGACTTCCTGCCACCGGGGCTGCTCCTGTCCGCGTACCTGGAACAGTGCAGCTGATGGCAGCCCCGCCCCCCCCCCCCCCACGCTGCCTCCCCCTTGCCCAGACCTCGGATACCATTTGCTACAGTATCTTTATTATTTTGAGAATTTGTCCCTGTAGACACGCTCTTCCCCTCGGGTGGCTCTCTCTCACCCTGGCCCCTTCCCTGTCCACCTCTCCCAGATAAACGCTGGGGGCTGGGGCCACCCTGGACTGGCCTGGCCTTGCAGCTCCCCGCTCTGGGACTTGTATTCGAGCGAGGAGACCCGGCCTGGTCACCTCTGTGTTCCTTCATTCTGCTTTTCCAGCCCCGTTTGAAGCTTAAGCGAGGAATGAGAGGCTGGGTTTTTATCACTTTTAATGAATTTGGCATGATTTGTTGTAGATTTTTAAATTTCCCTTTTGGGAAGAAAAACCAAAAACTTGCCCCAACTGATAAATCGGGGGACTTTGTTCTAGTCCCTGCTTGACCCCCCCTTCCCAGTTTTTGGCTTGGGGGGGGTCTCTGGGGCTCTGCCCCTTTTTCCACGAGTGTTCTGTCGTATGCCCATGTGCGCGCGCGCGCGCTCGTGTGTGTGTGTGTGTGTGTGTGTGTGTGTGCGCGCGTGCGCACGTGTGTGTGCGTGTGTGCGTGTGTGTGCGCGCGCGCGTGCGTGTGTGTGTGTGTGCGCGCGCGTGCGTGTGTGCGTGCGTGTGTGCGTGTGTGCGTGCGCAACCTAGGACAGAAGCTACATCTTAAAGGCTGGTCTTACCACCTTTTGGGAATGTGTGCTGTTCTCCCCCTGGTGGCTTTTGGTGGCTCCTGTGGCCCTGTCTGCTCTGCACACCTCCTCCCTTCGTACTGGGGGATCGGGACTTCCAGCCAGAAGCCTCTGCCCTCGGACTGCCCCATTCCCCTCTTCGTGTCCCCTTCCCCCCGCCCAGCTCTGGCCTGTTGCCTTGGGGTGTCCTCACACTGGTCATCCTGGCGTGTCCCACAAGAGCAGAGCTGGGGGACACCCCTCCCGTGTGTGTGGCTGGTTGTGCTTTGGGAAAAGTAGAGAGTTCAATAAATTTCTGGTGCTCTGGTCTCCAGCTGTGGGGTTTCCTTTCCTCCAGTAGGTGTTCAGGAGGTGCTTAGGTCCTGGTCACTGAGGGCTGCAGGCCTCGGGGGATGAAGCTTCACACTGAGGGACACCCCACCTGTGAGGCAGGTGGACGGGGAGATGCTGCTGGGAGCCCTGGGTCCGTCGGCTCTGCTGCCCTGGCTTGTCCCCTTCCCAGGTGCCCAGGTTCAGACCCCAGCTCAGCCACTTCCAGGCTGTCAATAGTCCAAAAAGTCACTTGTATGAGCCTCCCGGGGTGGCCACAGCGAAGTGGCTGTGGCTTAAAAACCACAGGAGTTTATTGTCTCCCAGTCCTGGAAGCCAGAAGTCCAAACTCAATCAGGCAGGCCCCTGAAGCTCCAGGGGAGGGTCCTTCTTGTGTGTTCCGGCTTCCGGGGGTCCCTGGCGGTCCTTGGCTTGTGGCCACATCACTGCAGCCCCCGCCTCTGTCTTCCCCGCGCCTCCCTGTGTTCCTTCCCATCGTCTTCTGTCTGTGCGTGTCTGGGACTGGCCGGGGGTCCCGCAGGACGTCCCCAGTCCGGGTTCGTCCCATCAGGGGTCCTTGCTGCCCAGGTGGCTCCCGCCTGCGGACGCTGGCCCTGGTCCCCTGGCCGGGCGTGCTGGTCCTGCTTTGCTCCTGGGAAGCTCCTTCCCCGCCACACTGTCCTCAGGGCGCAGCTGAGGCTCGGGGGCGGGAGCTGGGAGCCGCCTCTCTGGGGGCGGAAGATCTGTGTTCAGGACTGGGAATTCTGCAGGGACTTTGGTCTCTTCTCCCTCAGGTATTCCCTTATTCAGCAGCTGGTATCAGTTGGGACACGTGAGGATTGACTTTCTAGTTTGGGTTATGACCCATTACTACTCTACTCCGTCGTTCAGATTGTTCCGGGTTCGGCCCGTGTCTGAGGCAGCCCATCATCGTGGGGTGGGGTTTGATTTTTTGAGCCCCGTCCCTTCTGGCACTAGATGGTCCAGCTAGGCTTGCGTGTAGAAACCCGGATGTGGACACTTGGGTGTGCTGCGCCCCGTCTTAGCAGACGTTTTAGAAGTTTAAAGGCGGACGCTAAGGAATGCACGTCCACGTGGTGGCACAGTGGGCAGGGGGCACCTGGGGGCCCACGTGAGAGACGGAATCCCGGGCGCCCACGGGACACCGGGGACTTTGACCGCACCTGGGGCGCGGCGCCGGCGCCATGCCGCCCCTGTGCGGGTCCTCGGCGGGGTAAAAGCCTGCACGTGCGGAGCCCCCGTTTCGCCCCCGACCCACGAACGTCAGAGAAGAGTAAAATATGGAACGCTTCACGAATTTGCGTGTCATCCTTGCGCAGGGGCCATGCTAATCTTCTCTGTATCGTTCCAATTTTAGTATATGTGCTGCCGAAGCGAGCACGGCATAAACCTTGACCCAGGCAGTATTTATAGTTCCCAGAGTAAATGCCTTTACACAAAGGGTGAATTCTCTTAAAGAGGTCAGCGACCCGCATTCTTTGCTAGATTCGTACAACATATAGAATAACGAAATGGGATCATTCACTGAAGTTGAGAGAGCGTTCACTGCTCTGCCAACTATAACTCAGGTGGCTGCTGGGACGCCACTAAAAGTCGTATGCAAATACGCCGGAAGCGGGGCTGAGCCGCCGCCTTCCCAGAAGTCTCTGGGAAGCGGCCGCGCTGCGCGGGCAGCTCGTTGATCCCGGGGAAGAGGGCGGTGCCGGAGCCGGGGGCCTAGGGCGAGTGCAGGCAGCGGCTGCCTGCTCGGCTTGGCGCCTGGGCCGGCTCGGTGAGCGCGGGGCGGCGGGGGCCGGAGAGGTCGGCCAGCCTCCGGTCGGCGCCCGCGGTCGGGGGGAAGGCAGCCCGGCGAAGGCGGGGCGGGCGGGCCGGGGGGGGGGCCTGGGGGGTCAGGGGGGGGGCCGGGGGGGACAGAGGGAGCTGGGCACACGGCGGGGGGGGGGCGGGGTCTGGGGCTTGTGGCGGAAACTTGTGTGAAGCCGGGGGCGAACCGGGGGTCGGAAGCGGAGAGCCGGGGCAGGCCGGCCGGGGCCTGGGGGGCGGGGCTCACGGGTGATGGGGGATTTGGCGGTGGGACCGGGAGGGCCCTGTGCGCGGCGGTAGAGCCTGGCAGGCGAAGGGTCTGGGGTCTCTGGGATGGAGTCTGAGAGTTCAGGCCGGGCCTGGGGGCTCAAGGGGCGATCCGAAAAAGACTAGGGGATGGGCTTGGGGCTGGAGGCTTTGGGGGCGGGACTTAAGGACTCGCTGGGGCTTGTGGGCGGGGCCTTGGTGTTCCGGGTCAGGGCTTGGAGAAGGAGGGGGGCCTGGGGGACGTGCTTGAGAAAAATGGGGCTGAGCGCGCCTGTAATCTCGTTGGGCTCCTGCGAAAGAAAGGAAAGTAACCTGTAATCGACGCTGGCACGCAGCGAACGGCGAGGAGAGGCTCGCCGTCATTACTCTCGTTAGCCTAGTCCCAGCTCGGCCGCCCCCGGAGGCGGTGTCCTCGCGCTCCCGCGCTCTTGCCTCTCTGTGGGCCCTTCCTCCAGGACAGACCCAGGGCCCGACCTCTGCGCACACTGCCCACTGCCCTCACCATTGCTTTCTTGGACCAGTGCATTCACCTTCACCCCATCCCTGGCCGTGCACTCCAGACCGCCAGAGGGGTCCTGTTCAGATGTGGGTAGCTCACAGCCCTCTGGGGTGGAAACCTCTAGGGCCCTGCAGGACTTGCCCCTGTCACCTCCTGCCCCCACCTTGCCCCCTTTCCCTTCGCTCATCTGCTCCAGCCACATGGGCCGCTTGGCCACTCCTCCAACACCCGAGGGGTCATCCGTCCTCTGGGTCTTTGCACAGGTGTTTTCCCTCCACCTGCAGTGAACTTCCCCCGGATATCTGCATGCCTTGCGCCCTCACAACGACACTGGCGTGTTGTCTTCCTGATTAGGCCTCCCTGTGCCTCCGTGTTTATCTATTTATTTTATCTCTTAAAAGACTTTATGTATTTATTTGAGAGAGAGCTAAAGAGCTTGAGTCAGGGGCAGAGGCAGAGGGTGAGGGAGAAGCCGACTCCCTGCTGATAAGGGAGCCCGACACCGGGCTTGATTCCAGGACCCTGAGATCATGACCCCAGCTGAAGGCAGATGCTTAACTGACTGAGCCACCCAGGCGCCCCTCCCTCCATGTTTAAAATGCAGCTTCCCTTACACAACACACGAGACCCAAGGGCGTGGGTTCGTTGCATTCCCTGTGGTAAGCCGGCACCCTGCAGGCACTCAGAGAACGTCCTGTCAACCCCCTCCCTCAGGAGCTGCTAACCATCCTCATCCTCGGTGTGTGACCTGTGGCATGCAGGCACAATGGATCTGGCTTACGTCTGTGAGTGGGAGAGATGGCCCAAGAGTACCCACTGCCCGTCAGTGCCCCTGGCCTGTGCTTGGTCCTGCCGCAACCTCATTGCCTTCACCACGGACCTTCGAAATGATGACCAAGGTGTGCCTCCTTGCCCCCCAGCCCAGCCCCCCTCCCCTGGTGTCCCCATTGGGGAACTGGGTCTCCAGGCCTGCCTGGGAGTCACCCCTCACCCATGTGGCCCCTCTCAGGGTTTTCTCATCTACAGTTGGGGGTGGTGAGGACCCTAACCTCACAGGTGTGCAAAGGGCAAATGCACTGCTCTCCTATACCTGGTACTGGGGTGGGGTAGGGGGGAAGACCCTGGAATCACCCCTTTGGGATGGAACGGGGCAAGGGATGTGTGGTCCCCTAGGGCTTGGAGACTTGATGCGCAGTTTTCCAGACCATACGTGTTATTATCTTGTTTCGGGAAGCCTCGAAGTTACTCTGCTGGGACCTATTTTCTGTCTGTTGTTTAAACAATGTGTGCTTGTTGGAGAAAATTAGAAAAGCAGAGAAATTTAGCGTAAGGACTAAAAAACCATGGAGTGATGCCCACCGTTAACATTTGGGGGATCATTTTCTTCCAGTTTTTTCTACATCTCTTCTAAAAACATGACCATGCGGGCGCCTGGGTGACTCAGTTGGTTAAGCGACTGCCTTCGGCTCAGGTCATGATCCTGGAGTCCCGGGATCGAGTCCCACATCGGGCTCCCTGCTCAGCGGGGAGTCGGCTTCTCCCTCTGACCCTCTTCCCTCTCGTGCTCTCTATTTCTCATTCTCTCTCTCTCAAATAAATAAATAAAATCTTTAAAAAAATTAAAAAAATAAAATAAAAACATGACCATGCTTGTGGCGAGGTCACAGGCCTGCTTTGGTCTCCTTGTTAGCACCTGGGCTGTCTACATGG